GGRARKGGGGRTTCACCCCTCCAAGCAGAAATATCACAAAATCAAAGACAATGGCAATTAAATTCCAGTCTTCCAGCCAAACATCCTCTCCCCAGGGCTGATAAGGCACAGGACAGAGCCTCTGTCCCAACAGCCTCTCAGTAGGCAGGACTGTACTGCCTGTGGCCCTAAGTGGAGGTATCTTCTTCCTCTCAAAGGGGTACATGGCCCAGCAGAAAGGAGAGGGGTGGGAAGAGGGKTGGACGAGGGGCTGATGGTAAAACAGACACTGGAACTGGGTAGAGGAATGCCCCYACAGGCCCCCACCAAGCTGCAGGGGCAGCCTTGGCAAACTTCACTGTCCTGCCCTTGACTTTGATAAGGAGTAGCTGGAGTGGGGGAGGAGCCAGAGGGTCCTGAACATGGATGACTGGCCTGGTCCCTTCCAGCCCCTGGAGCTGTAAGATCTACTTGAATCCCCCACCATTCCCCACAACACAGCCATATCTATAGATTAAGAAACAAATGAAAAAGGTAGTGTTTGAGTTGGCACCTTCTAGGGTCAAGGTAAGGAAAGTGAAATAGGCCATGTCCCGGCTGATCAATTGAACCTAGGTTCCTATTAATCACTTTCCTTTAAGAATCAGAGAGAAATGAGAGAGTTTTCTTTTACCACCTTCTGTCTTAATTTGCAGCAAGGAGGCTGAGGGTGGTGAACTGCATCTGTGCCCTGGCCTCTGCCACCTTACAGACTGGAGCTGAAGAGCAGAGGTCACTGAGGAGCAGTTCCCTGGAATCCTTTTTCCTCTCCATTCTCTTTGCTCAAATCAAATCCCGGGGTCCTCACTGACCAATCCAAGAGAAGAGTCCTCCTGACAGAAAATAGCAGAGACCAAGGACCCACCAGGTGCTGCACCTCCCAACWTGGCTTCCCCCAAACCTGGARGGTCCAGCCACTTTCTCTATCAGTCGCACAGCTGGTGCAGAGGACAGAACCCTGGGCTGCGAGTTCTAGTCTCAGCTTTGCCACTAGCTGGCTATGGGTTCACTGGGGCTAAGGTTTCACATTTGGCTCATGACATGGTTGAATAAGATGCTAAAAGAGGACAGAATGATTGTGCATCAAGACTATGCCCAAAAAACTGAACATATAATATTTTCTAAGAAATGCCATTTGACATTCATTAGCATAGACAGAAACTCTACCTAAGACCTTTTATCTCAAGTTTTTCTGCATCTGTTTTCAAGCATCAGTGGAGCTAGAGACATCTGGGTGCCCAACAGCACCTGCAAAGTGTAGTTTCCTCTGTGAATCAGGTGGTCCCCAGAGACAGAGATGTGACCAGGAGAACCTCTCAGGGAGGTCATATTTGGAAATGCCCCAAATACCAACATAAGCACCATCTACACAAATTCAGTCATAAGGGCTTAGGGGGCTTCAGCAAGTCTCTGAGCCCCAGACTGAGTGTAGCAATAAAAGGACAGTCATGGTGGATCAGAATGTGGGGTCAGTTGGGGGACAGCCCTCCAAGAACCTGAGCTGCTGCCCATGGTCCAGGAGAGTGAGGGGAGACTGGGCCACATTCCCATCCACTTCTTCCCTGTCTCCACTAGGACCTCAGGTAGGTAGATAATGCACACTCTGGAAGCCAATAAGTGGACTTTCTAAAGATAGACAGGCATGACCTAGAGGAAGGTGGCAGCTCAGATACTACCCAGAATACCCCAACAGCAAGCTGAGGGTGAAGACCACCTCCCATGTCTGTACTTCTTCAGGAGCAAACCTGTGTCTGTTTTTCTGAACACACCCAGCCATCCTGCCTAACCGTCCCAGAGCCAGGGGCAAAGCCCAGCAGGGACACAGTGGCTGCAGAGGGAGCAGTAAGAGCAKTAGAGACAGGGAGGTATGACATTCCCATACAGGACAGCATGGGGACAATCTGGAAACCTCAGAGGACCCCAGAATGCAATATAACATGGCACAACCAACTGTACATACTAGCTACCCAGAGAGGCGAGCCAGAAGCCTGTAATCATTTTCAAAGAAATGCAGTTCGACCTTTCAAGCTCCTTCAGAAACCCGGCCAACAGAAAGCCGCCAGACCTGCAGGCCTCGTTCCAGCAGTGGGTGCCGCTASACTGACTTTCAGCTAAACAGATCTTTTGTTGACCTTCAAACTAGAATAAATCTTACCAGACTAGTACTTTATGTAAGCACATGTCCCACTCAGGGTAAGGGGTGCAGTCACTCCCAGTCTGCAGACAGGATCCAACAAGAGAGTGGGAAATGAAATATCAAAATTTTGCGCTAATGGCAAAAGTAAGGAGGAAATATCAGTCCAAAAAAAAATGTGTTGCATTTCTATGCTTTGACTTGGGATTGGGTCCAGATCCTTGTATAGATAAAGCACTCAATTAGAAATCTTGTCATCTGCTCGTTAAAATGGGGAGCCCAGCCAGCAACACCCCAGTAGCACTGTACCACCTATGCCAGAGGCCCTGTGCGCTTCAAGCTGCAGCACCACCCAGGGTCTGCTGTTCAGACTGTGTTTGACTTGGAGGGTGCCTCACCCTAAACCCAGCAGCAAAAACACCCTGAAGACTAAGACAGGTGAGAGGCCAGGGGGCTGTCCCTCAGGACAGCTGGCTCATCCCAGAGAAAGTGGCTCTGATTGGAAAGGGTAAGAGGCTTGGGGGATGGAGCCCCAGACATGTCCAGAGGGCACGGTACATGGAAGCAGCTCCCAAGGCTACACTAGACACTCCACAGATGMCAAGGACATGCAGGGTCTGAGGGACACTGCATTCCTTTCCTACACTTAAGTTCAACCCCCACACATTGGCCTGACCAGAATCTGCCACATCATACCCCCAGCTCACCTCTTCCCCTCTCACCCATGGCGGGGATTGAAATAACTATGGCTGGCTGAGCCCTCAGGCCCTGTGGTTTTCCTCAAATGCCCAGCATTGGCCTGTTCCCTCTCTCAGAACTCCTTCTCATTCCTGGCTTCCCAGCTGTTCCTAGGGAAACAAAATGTCTGGTCAAAGGGGCAAGATTTTCTGGGGCTTCTCCCACAATAAGGATAGTCAGGAATCTGCATAAAATTAGTGGGAAAAAGTTTCAGCTACAATCAAGGAAGTGTGCAGCCCAGGTCTCAGAGATATCCAGCTCAGTCTCTGTGCTTCCACAAGCCCAAGCCCCTAGCAACAGGGATGACAGCATCCCTGGACCTRTCCCTGGGACTAGATCAGAAATGTTTAGCACAAAAGCAAGTATATGTTTGGAGTTCCAGAGATCTGGGACCAATGTAGGGTTTTTTTGGTGGGGTAGGTGGTGCGCGATGGGGATTGAACCCAAAGTTGCTTTATCACTGAGCTACATCCCCAGTGCTTTTAATTTTTTAATTTGAGAAAAAGTCCCATTAAGTGCCAAGGCTGGTCCTGAACTTGCAATCTTCCTGCCTCCAGAGTTGCTGAAATTACAGGTATGCACCCAGCTGGGAGCCTATTTTTATCAGGACAACCTCCAAGATGTTGCTAGTCTTGGCTACTGGGAAAGCAGCCCCTCTACCTCCACTACGTCACTAAATGCACTGGTGGTGGTGAAGCTTCTGCCTGCCAATCCAGGAAGGCACTGCACTGTGACAAAGGACAGACAGGGCCCACCTTATGTTCTGCTATCACCTCTGCTCTCCACCTCATTACCTTTTGCCTCTGAAGCAAATGAGCTCCCCAGTCTCTGACTGAGCTCCCATACCTAGATCCCCTCTTGCCCAACTCTCTCTTACAGACAAAGCAAGATGATGACAAATGACCCAGACAGACATCACAGCTGGAGGTCAAGAGCAGAGGAGCCTCCAGGAATGAAGCCTTGTCCAGAAATGGGAAGATTCTTGCAGGGTATGTTGATAAAGGAGCCAGCAGGGCCGTGGTCAGGTTGGGACATGGCACAGGAAGCCGGTCTGATGGGCAGGTGGCCAGTAGGGCAACAGGCCTGTGATGGTCAGAGTAGCAGATGGCACCCCCAAACTGCTGGAACAGGAGCCTTCTACAGGACAGAGCTGGRCTTCCCTGCAGAAGACAAGGGGAGAGCGAGAAGATGAGTGAGCATTCCATAAAAGCAGGAAAGATAAATACACCGTTACGTAGCCACAGCCCACCAGCTGCACTCAGGACAAGGAGRGTGTCCAACATAAGGGTCCCTGACTTCATTTACACAGCCCTGGAAGTTGGGTATGAACATTACTTTGGTAAAGAGAAGCATCTGAAGCCCATGATAGATGTTAGAGGTGAATGTTGACATTCCCATTTTCTCTTCTGTTTTCTCATAAACAGGCTTAATGTGCCCTTTTCCATGGTCCCTAAGGTGACTCAGTCCACCTGCGATTCCAGGTGGGGGAGGGTCAGGAGTTCAGATGGGTTCTGGTATCTTCACTAGTAGGAGCTGAAACTTAATCGTGGAGGACTCCTGCTCTGCTCTGCTCTGCTGGAACCACATGAACCCCTGGGCAGAGGCTGAGAGCAGAAGTCTCCCTGAAGCTGTCCCTTACACTTTTTCCTGAGCAAGGGCATCTCTTGGCATGAAGGAAGGACACATTCTAGCCTAGAGCCTTGGCCAAAGACACAAGGAGGGAAAGGCTACCTAAGATCAGGGAAGCAACAGGTGAGCTGAGAAACTCCTCCCTCCGGGAAAGGAAATGGGCTCTGGCCTTGACCCCTTCCACCTGCTGCAATCAGACTCTCACCAGTTTGGGGGAGACCTTTGCAGTGAACTGCACCAATCCCACTGGGTAACCCCTCCCTTCCACACCTAAGGCATCCTCCCTTTCTTCCCTTCATAGACTTGGGGAAGCCCATCATGGATGTTTGGAGATAAGGCCACTGTGTGGACCTCCCCAGCTGGTAGCATCTCTATGACCCTTCTCAGGTCATAAGGTCACCAACACCCTGATCTTTTTTTCTGATGGGGGTTGCTCCTGGGGATTAAACCCAGGGATACTCAACCACTGAGCAACTTTCCCAGCCCTTATTATTTTTCATTCTGAGACAGGGTCTTGCTGAGTTGCTRAAGGTCTCACTAAGTTGCTGAACCTGGCCTTGAATTTGTGATCTTCCTGCCTCAGCCTCCCAGGTCGTTGACATTACAGGCGTGTGCCACTACACCTAGCTGGTACCCTGATCTGAAAGGAATACACAACTCTCCTTGTGGCCACTGCAAAACAAATACTTACCTTGGACAGGCAAAGGACTCCACTTTCCATTAGTGACCCTGTTTCAAGAAACATTCATACAAGAGTTTTAAATAACAAAATAGCAATCTGCTCCGCCTGCAGCMTCTGCACACTCTCCTCTCAACAATCTGGTGAGCTTAGGAAGGGACAGGGGCCCCAGGAGACAGTGGTTCACATTGCAGATCTGGACACAGCTGTGTGTGTCCAATGGTGGCTCAAATGTGGAAGGTGTGGAAAAGGTAGCTGATGAACCCCTGGTTGATGCCTACACCATGGGGGGACAGGTGGTATCACCCCCAGATCTGACAAGAACCCCCCTTCCCCTCTCAGGGAACCACCATGTGATATCTGAGACATGCTCCCCTTCCAGCCCACAGGAAAGAAAGCTGGCTTTTGGAGGGGACTGGAATCGGGGGTGGTCCTCACACCCAGATCCTTACCGCACTGGAGCTGGCATGGCTGAGCTTATCAAAGCGGAATTTCAGGTTTGATCTTGGGGAGTTTCTGCTTTTGCCATCTAAGAAAAGAAGAATGTCCATGAAAAGGAGATGGAACGGCAGAGGTCACGTGAACTGAATGGAGAGAGAGACTGTCTGGGGAAGCCAGGAGAAAGGGGCCTCCCTGCCTTGCCTCAAGGCATAGTAGCCCATGTGAACATGCACCAGAGCCAACTCTTAAACTTGTAGAGATGGTGTGAGCTGGTTGTTAAACACAAGAGAGTTTTAAAAATTAAATGATAAAAGCTTTTGAGTAAATAAATTATATTCAACAAAAAGGAATAAATACTCAAAATTCATCATGTCCTCACTATTTTACTAGATTTTACTATTGTCTATACTTTTGCATCCATTGTATCCGTGACAGAAACACCCCACGGGAGTGAACTGTACTTCTTCCCAGGGCACGTTCAAGGACATCATGGAGATAGCTTGAGATCAACTGGCAAATGCTACAAATCAGGCATGATTTATTGTTTTGTTGTCTAGACTTAAGAAACTAATGAAGAAAGTAATCATGTGGATTATATTTGAAAATGTGCTGTGCCTACAGCCATTTCATTGTGAATAGTGCCAAAAGACTGGGTAAATACTCTTCTGATATTTGAAACTTATTATCTGACTCAGTAAAAACGTTGCTCATGACCTTAACAAATGGCTGAMGTTCTCTTAATATAAAGTACTGGTTAATATAAATGATAATATCAGTCAATATTCACGTCGGAACCATATTTTTTCATCACCAGGAGGTGCAATAAGCACTAGACAAGAGTTACCAGACGTGATCCAGGTTCCCTTTTGCCCTGAGTGACCTTCAATATGTCGTAGACTCTCTATAAGCTTCTCTTTACTCAAAATATTATTCATTTTTATATTGACTTAGTGCCACACAGGCACTGGGTTTGGCTATAGATTCTTTCATTCATTCCATCAACATKTAACTAACTAACCCTTAAAAATCCAGGAATGTGTATAACTATCCCATTTTAGAGAGGAGGAAATGGAGGTTCAGAAAGGTCGGCCTGACTGATTAGAACCCAGCTTCAGGCGGGAGGTGAATGAGAGGAAGGCATGAACTGCTCCATTAACTGGGAAACACTAAGATTAAAAGATCACTTGCTCTTGACCATGATCTTCCCTATATCTTCCCTTTGACATTGCTGACCCTCTCACCAACACACCTTCGCCATGAGAACCCCAGATGTATTTTTGGCTGAAACCACTGTAACAGCCCACTGACCCTGTGTCCCTAATGTTTAGATAGAATTTCTCAAACTATTCCATTTTGAGCAAGATAACMCTTTGTTGGGGGTTGGGTACATTGTACAGCAGCATCCCTAACTACCTAGTTATCATAGGGCCCCCCCCTTCCACAATCATGAAAACCAAAAATGTGTCCAGACATTGCCAAAGGTTCCCTGGGGAACAAATCTGACCCCACCTAAGACAACTGATCACATTACTGTTCTATCCCAATCGTTTAAAACACACTTGGCTTAATAGTTCTATGTCCCTTATAAGCATAAACCTAGTGACTTGCCCAATGTCACATCACTAGCGAGTGGCAGATAAGCAAGCTTCAGAGTCCTACGCGTGCCCCATGCTGTGCTGCCTGCCTCAAAGACTTTGATTTCTGGGCACCCACAATACCCACCTGGATAGACAGTGCCTATCACACAGGGCCACTTAGATAGCTCTCAGAGCCTGCTCTTTCCCCTGTTCCAGAGCTGGGGCCTCTTACTCTGCCCAACTGCAGGGATCCCAAAACCTCAAAAGGCCTGTTCTCCCACAATTCCCACTACTAAGCCTAGTAGATTTTACCTCCTTGAAATCCTCTCCCATCCTCTCTGGGGCCTCATCTCCTTCCACCGCCCTACTGTGCTCCTTCTGTTCCCCCTCCCTGCTCGAGCTCCCTGTCAACCTTTCCATACTCAGCATGCAGCAGCCAAAATGCTCTTTCTCAACTCCAGATGGCACTTTTCTACTTAAGACCTTCAAGGCTTGAGACCCCTCCAGGAGTGACAGCACTACAATTCCCACCAGAATCTCCTGGCAGCCCACCTGTGACTTCTGCATGCAGCCTGTCTCTCCTCTCTCACACCTCCCCATGAATTCCAGCTGCACTGAATCACATAAGGTTCTACAATGCCAAGTCTCTCATTTCCTCTAGCCTTCTCACATGCTGCTCCTCCCTCTTAGCCTTGTATCATCAGGATCAAAGCCATGACAGAGGGGCCCGGGATGGCTGATGGGGTAGCATCAAAGGTAGGGAGCACACTCAGCTTTCTAACCCCATAATCCTAGCTCCTCAATTATGGATTCTCCCGCAGATCACTGAACTCTTGGAGCCTCAGTTTCCATACATAAAAAGAAAATAAGAACACAGGCTACTTAAGGTTGATGGACAGATTAAAAGAGCTGGTAGGCTGAAGGGCTGACATCTCAGAGGTGGACAGGAACTGGCCAGACCAGCATGCCTGGGGCACATACCACATGAATAGTGATCAAGGCACATCCTGCCCTCCCAGCCACATTACACACACAACCCCTCCAGCCACAYTGCAAACACCACCAAAAGCCACTGACCCGTTGGACTCCGGCTCATGATGATGGGGGTGGCAGCTGCSCCCAGGCTGGGGTTCTCGCTGCTCGCGGACGGGCTGTAGACAAACACCTCCTGCTTGAAAGGTGAGGTTGTGGACGGCTGGCTGCTCTGGGGAGAGAGAGACTGGGTGAGAGAGGTYGGTGCACCCTCAGAAGCCCCACAGGGTCCCGTGCCCAGAGAGGCCTGAGATAGGACCCCCACAAGTCCAGAGCCTCCTACACCTGTGGACCTGCTCTTTCCTTTCTGCTGTCTCAGTCCCGGGACGACCTCCACAGGTTGGAATGGGCACACTTACCCCACTGTCACACTCCTCCATGGCTTCGCCCTCTCCTGCAGTGCTGCTGAAGCTGCTGGTGCTGGAGGAGGAGCGGGAGATGTTGGCCCGGCCGTTCTCCTTCAACTTTATGAAGGGCCTGCAGGGAACAGGAAGTGAGGCCAGCCCCAGTCACCAAGGACACCAAGACCCTGTTCAGCCCTCAGGCCCTTCCCAGATGGAGAATGGAACAGGCCCAGCTGAGACTTGAACTTGCCCACAATAATTCCTGTGCCCCCCTCCCCCGCCAATCTTTGTGTTCCAGAAAGTTCCAGAGGAAACAGACTCTCAGCTTGCCTAGAGGCAGAAGAAGCCCATGTACCGGGACTCCAAATGAGGAAAGCCAGCCTTTCCTTCACCCTCACTTTCTTACTTCTCTTTATTGGGGCATATTTCCGGAGAGCTGGGATTGGATGAGGTCTCAGACTTTATCTCCTGAGAAGAGTGTCCACCATCTGGGGTCTTGGGGGTGCTGGATGCACTGTCACTGAGGGAATGAGAATGAAGAGAGTGATACCATGGAGCCAGCTCCCAACATGCCAGTCCACCCCCAAGTCCGAGACAGAGTTCTAACTGTGGGGTTCAGCAGACTCCTACCTTTAAAGCATGGCTACCAGGACTTCCTTTCTCACCTGAGCCCCTGAGACTACAACAGCCAACAGGGTTTTGTGTTCCCTTACAGAAAAGCCCACTCTAGGTTCATGGGTAAGAGTCCAGGCCCATCAAACAGGAACCCTGGCTCCAGCCCAAGTCTACCCCTCACCCAAGCTGGCTGTCCCACCAGGCAAAGCTATGAGTTGAGAAAGGGCCCCACAGGAAACAGAGTAGAGTCTATACAGGAAACAATCCAATATGCATGGATTCCTGGAAGGTTCCAGGGGGACCATCTGTTGTGTGACTCTGGGGGACACCCTGTATACACACTATAATATGAGGCCCCTGGATCTATGTGAGATAGTAGGTCTGGGTATTAGAGAGCAAAGGGCTACTCTTGGCCCAAGAGTCCAGAAGTTCCCTTATCTCAAAGTTTAGTAGAGACCATTTACCCTGTGCCAGCTGTTAAGTACACAATACACAATAGCTTTGTTCTCAATGAACCTTTTTTTTTTTAAGGGGAAGGAGGAAAGGGGACTGGAGATTGAACCCAGGGGGACTTTACCACTGAGCTACATCCTCAGCCCTTTTTATTTTTTTATTTTGAGAAAGGGTCTCATTAAGTTGCTGATGGCCATGCTAAGTTGCTAAGGCTGACCTCGAACTTGCAATTCTCCTGCCTCAGCCTCCTAATCACTGGGCATATAGGCATGCACCATCATGACCAGCAATGCACTTTTTTTWAATAACAGTATCATTGAGGKCTGGGGTTGTGGCTCAGTGGCAGAGCGCCCACCTCACACATGTGAGGCACTGGGTTCGATCCTCAGCACCACATAAAAAAATAAAAATAAACAAAATAAAGATATTGTGTCCATCTATAACTTAAAAAATATATTTAAAAAAATAGTATCATTGAGACACAATACAYATACCATACAACTCATTTAAAGTAGACAATTAAATGGTTTTTAGTATATTCACAGAATTGTGTAATCATTACCAATGATTAAGAGGTCTAATTCTTAGACCTCCCAAAAGAAACCTTGGCTCCATTTGCAGTCACTGTYTATCTCTCTTGCCCCCACTCTCCTCCAACCACTAACTTACTTTCTGTCTATGGATTTGCTAATCTGGACATTTCATATAAATGAAATCATATAATGCGGTATGGTCTTTATGTCTAGCTTCTTTCACTGAGCATAATGTTTTCAAAAGTTCACTATGTGATAGCCTGCATCAGAATTTTAGTYGTTTTCATTGGAAAATAATATCCCCATTTTATTTATCTAGTTATCAAGTGATGGACATTTGGATTGTTTCCACCTTGGGCTATTTCGAATAAGGCTGCAATGAACATTTGTGTACTGAGTGGTGCTGGTGTATTCGTTYTTTTATGGGCAATTGTTTTCAATTCTCTTGAGTAGATAACTAAGGGTGGCATTACTGGGTAACTCTAGTTTAGCCTTCCAAGGAACTGCAGGCTGTTTCCCAAAGCTGTCAAACTGTTTCATATTCCAACAGCAATGAATAAGGGCTTGATTTCTTCACATCCTAACACTTATTATTATCTGCCTTTTTATTTTTATTTTTTAGTTGTAAATGGACACAATAACTGTATTTTATTTATTTATTTTTATGTGGTGCTGAGGATCGAACCCAGTGCCTCACACATGCTAGGCGAGCCCTCTACCACCAAGCTACAACCCAGGCCCTATTATCTGTCTTTTTGATCACAGCCATKCGAGTGGTGGTAAGTGCCTCAATGTACTTCTGATGGCCTCGCTGCCACACTCAGGGGTTCAGACCACTGTGCTAGACTTGCCTGCACATCCAACACTAATGAAATCTCCCCCCTCCTGGCTTCACTGATCCCAACCTCCACAGCCTCTCCTCTTCTCTCTTTTCCTCCTGTCATGTTCACTACCTCTCTGTCCTCCATGTGCCCTTGAACACTGGTGCTCCACATACCCTCCTGGGAYACTCATATTGACTCATTAACATGTCTTTAACCAGCCTCTCTATTCCAGGGTCACCCAACTCCTTCCTCTCCAGTCAGGTCTTCTCTCCAAAACTCAAGAATTGGACATCTCTCCTGAGTGGCCCATGACACTCACATGTGCAGGTTCCAAACAGAGCCTTTTGTCCTCCTCCATAAACCTGTCCCTTGTCCAGCATGACCTAGCTTGGGGGATGGTACCATCACCCRGGGCTACAGGCCAACAACCAGAAATCTGAAAATGAATCTAAATGTCTTCCTCCCAGTACTGTGTACTGCAGAGGGCAGGCCTGGGTGTCCAACTGCACCTGTCTCAGCACTCAGCACCAGGCCCAGCATAMGGCAGGCACTCAATAAATGCTGCTTGCTGAATTAAAGAACAAATGGGTTCATCAATTAAAGGATCAGAAAGATGATTAATAAGAACAGGTTAAATATGCTGCAATATGAGAGCTACTTTTAAAAAATAGAACATTCTAGAAGTCCAAAAGAAGGTTCAATGAACTCTGCCTGGCACAATCAGGGAAAGTTTCCATTGGAGGGGACATTTGGAGCCCTCAGTGGTAGAGTGCTTGTCTAGCATGTACAAGGCCCTGAGTTCAATCCCCAGTGACGTAAAAAGGTGCAGGGGTGGGGGTGTACACTGGACCGAGCATTGTAAGACGAGAACCCAGGAAATGTTTCTAGCCTGGATCAAAATGCTACAAAAACAACTTTGGAGATCCATGGAGAGAATGGCCAAATGACTCAGTAGATAGAAAGCTGAGTGAGTGAGTGACCAGGCAGGAGCCTGAGCAGAGCCAGGGTTAAAGAGAAGCCTCCTCCCCAATCTGAGCTAAGCTCTTCCCAAGGTGGGGTATCAGACAGCTATCAAGGTGGAGAAGGCTGACAGATCCCACAGCTGGGCTGGAGCTGGGGGCCCCTGACAGTTACCATCGTGTCCGGCCATCCCCCTGGCCTTCAGAGCCCGTGTGCAGACGGGGAAAGAGCCCTGACCGCCGCTTGATGGGGCTCCTTGACTGGTTCTTCACTGTCGCAGCTGCTGCTGGAGGCTGCGGAGAAAACTGCCAGAGTGAGTGCACCCACCCCAGACTCGAGTCTCCTTCCCTTCCCTCTCTCTGGTCTACAAATTTTGCCTGGTCTGGAGGGGACCCTGGAAGATAGCGATGCAGCTAGGAAAGATGGGATCTCTATAACAAGAGCTGAGACCCCACGGCTCAGGCCTCTCAACAGTCTTTTTCTGTGTTCTTAAGACAAGTCACTGGCCCCAAGCAATGCCCCAAGGAAGACCAGAATTCCTGGTGGGGTCACGGCCACCACAGCAAAGCTCCACATATTGAGAAAGTCAGGATGACTCATGGGATCACAGACTGAGAACCTCAAAGCTCAAGAACCCTGGTTCAACCCTTGATTTCACCAGGGAGGAAGCCAAGGACCAGAAGGTGAAGCGATTTCATTGAGGTCAGCCAGCACATCACTAGAAGGATGAGGACAAGAACCCAAGGGCTCCTGACCCTCCCTCCACTGCTCAGGAGTACACGGAGCCTGGGAGGAGTCACAATAACCAGATGGAAGGGGAGCTGTGGAGCCAGCAGAGGTTTCTGATTCAGGACAGTTGCTGAGCCTCACAGGGTGAAAATGAGGAAGGAGAAATGGGAACCTGGAGCCAACCTTTAGAGCTTCTAAGCCAGGCCCCAACTTCTGCCAATCATGTGTGAGCAACCCTGGGCTAATAGCAAAACTCTCTGAGCCTCAGTCTCAATCAGAGAAAGCTCACTTCATAGACCTTYTCAAAGGAACATGACAATAGGTGTGGTAAATTAAACTAACTGTGCAAAGCCATTTATAATTAGAATCATGAATACTATGGTAACTTTGTTCTACTATCAGAAAAAGAACAAGAAAAGAAAATCCTAGAACATACAATTCCAAAACCATTTTGCCTTACACAAATGGACTGGAAATATGGTTCCCTCGCCTGCCCAGCCCTGGAGTAAGTCAATTGGGCCTGAGCTCACAGACCAAAGCCAAAGGGCCCTCTCTCCTTTGTCACTGTATATACAGTGATGAAAAAGATAAACTTTGAATCAGGAAGACTTGCATTCAAATCCCAGTTCCTCAGCTTAGCTGGGTGACTTGCAGCAATTGCTTAACCTCTCTGAGCCTCCGTTTCCTCAAATGTGGAACAGAAATGGCTTCAGGACCTGCCTCAGGCAGCTCTAACAGGAATCAGGAAAGACCTTGTCTATGGATTACTTAGCCTGGAGTCTAGCACACAGCAAGCTGGGTTGGCGACTGCTATCATTAACAATAACGAAGGAAGGACACCCCTCTCCAAGTCATGGGCCCCAATCCCCTGGGCAGGGAAACACACCCTAGGACCATTATGTAGGGTTGGCCCAAAGGAGGAGATCCAGCTGTCAAAGAAACTCAGAGAACAAGACAAGGGGACTTCTAGTCCAGGCCAATTCCAGATACCACCTGGGACTGAAGGCTCCAAGCAACCATTATCAGAGGGCAGAGACTGAGTCACCCCCAAGTGGACTCAGTTTCCTTCCATCATCCAGCTTGCCCTGCTCAAGTTGTCTAGCCCAAGCCTGGGCAGGGGCACCCTTCCTGCATAGGTTTAGTGAGGAGCCTCCCCTGGTCCACATGCTGGCCTAGGGCCGGCCACACTTACCGAGAAGGTAGTCTTGGTGACCTCCATGCTGTTGTGGACAATGCCCCCACTGAGACTTCCAGGAATGCCTCCACTGTGCAGCTTCCTCTGGCTGCCCACCATGGTCTCCATGGAGTGGCTGCGTACACGGATGGCCCTCTGCAAGGAGAAGGATGACAGAGGTTTGCAGGTCAGCACCTGGCCCTTCTGCCCTTGGCATAGTCGCCTGTGTGCCCACAGACACAGAGGCCCATGCCACAGTCACCAGAGGTGACACAGTGCTTTCCCACATTCTGTCCCATGCTCTGGCAAAGCACCAGACAGCAGGCCATGGGAGTCAGTGCCCCAGCTCCCTGCAAGGTGGGCCAAGGTTGTTATCCTCATCTTCTAGGTAAAGGAAATGAGGCTCGGGGCTCGGGAATCCTGTGTGACACCAGACCAGTTACCAACCTCTCTAAACGACGTACCGCTTCCTCACTTGGAAAACTGGAATTACACATTCCACACAGGATSGAGGCGGGGATTAAATACATTAAATCAGATGCTGGCTGCAGGTTGATTCTTTGTACAGAAAACTAACCTTCCATTCACTTGTCTACACTGGGCTTTCTGCTGTCATTCCCAAGGGTGCTTTGTGCAACTGGGACTCCACCCATCCTTGGTAGAACTGTGAGGAAGTCCTGCTCATCTGCTCAAACCTCACATCGAGCCCTCCTCATGCCTGCGGGGCTGAAGGCACACCTGCTTTCCAAGCCCACGGTTGATGGCTGCTGGAAGAGGAGATGTGTGCTTACACCCAGCACATGCTGAAGGGCATGGGGCTACTCAGGTCACTGGAGCCTCGTGCCCACCTAGGGCCACCAAAGAGCCAGGGACACACTGGAAAACAGTGCAGTACTCAGGAAAGGATAAGCGGGATGGTCAGGTTTGTCAGAGTGTGTGTGAGGATGAGAACAGCTAAATCAGCAAGACCACAGGGGGATGGACCTGGGGTGACAGCCACCCCTCAGGCTGCCCCACGGGGCAGCGTTGCTCTGTATGAGACCAGAGAGGAGAAATGATGGAGAAATGATGGGTCATTTCCCAACAAGTGAAGTCCTGGTGGATTCTGGCTACCCCATAGATGATGTCCTCATTAGTCCAGAAGCCTTCAAAGATGATATGAGAATTCTAGGAAGAGGAGGTTCTCTCCAGTGACTCCAAAGCTCTGAGTCACCTCCCTTTGATCACTCACCCAGTCGCTGAATAATACAGCCAGTCGGCAATGCAACTTAGCATGAAAAAAAGCATGAAAGCCTCAGGGTTGCACCACCAGGATTTCTACTTGGACTCTCTACTCCACCACTCATGAACTGGGTACCCTACTCGAGTAACTTGGCTTATACGTAAGGCTTATCAGTGAAAAGGGATGGAGGCTACCTACCCCATGGAGTTACTGGGAGAAAACACATAAGGCTCCTAGAACAGCCTGGGGCATCACRATTACCTCCTAAGTGTGGCTATTCTTATTGTTAAGAAGAAAAAATTGTCCCATGCTTCCTGTGTGCCCAGTACCATTCCAGGAACTAAGAGAACTGTAGTCCAGAGGCTAAAGGAGTATAAGACATGGGCCCTGTCACCAAGAAGTACCTAAGACATATTCCTAAATTTGGGGCAGTGTTACAAGACTCAGCATTTATGGGGTACTACAATTAGCTGCCCAGGGACCTCAAGGACAAGGACTTCTGTGTGTGGATATTATTAATGACTCAAGTACAGTCCCCCAGTTCCCCTTGCTGACAGAACCACAACCTGGCCCGATATCTCCTCCTCCTCTGTGGGGCACAGGACTAAGTCATGATCCGTCTGAAGCAGTCGCTTAACCCCTTTACCCATCCCCTTGTCAGTGGAGCATGAGGGACCTTTACTGGGGACATTAGAGAAAGGCTTCCTCAGTGATTCCCAAATGAGATGTGACATGTCTGCACCTGAGACATGTGGCAGCCACCTTGGGGCCCAGGCTGAGGGACAAAGCTGATGAACCAGACATGCAGAAGTGAAAGAGAGGAAGAACCTGGACACCTCTGACCAACTGAGGCCCGAGTCACCTGAGTCTTCTTGGTACGCGCGTAAATGGACTTAGCATGTGAGCCTTCCTACTTAGGTAGGGAGTTCCCAACTCCAGCTCCAGAAAACCAATGCAGAAAGGTGAAGCTCCCTTCCTCTATGGGCTTCAGACCTGTGTATGCACCTCAAGTGCCAACTTAGAGGTCTTAAGTAAAAGAACAAACCCCTTCCCTCCTCTGAAGTACCCAGAGAAGAGCTCAGTCTATGGCAAGAAGAATGCCCCCAAGCCAAATAGCWGGTCTCCTGGGAACCTCTCAGTCCAGGAATTCTCCAAGCTTGGCAACTGCAGAGAACCCCAGCCTGCCTGCCTTTCTATCCTGACAAGGGAAGCAGACCCAGGAAAGCTGGTGGTAAAGATGACAGCCCCCCAGATGAGCTACCGAGAACAAGGCACGGAACCCACAGTCTCATACTCCTGATGTCATATGGCTTCTCAGGTCTGAGTCAAAGATGCCCCTTAAGAGACATCATCTCTCTCYCTCTCTAGACTACAGAACAGAGTCGCCTAGCAACAGTGTCTCTGAGACATGGCTGAAACAGTCAGCGTGTTCTATTCACTCCATCACCCAAGCAATGTAAAGTCCCGTACCCCTGGGGAAACTGAGGGCAGGAAAGGTGAGGCATATCCAGGAATGAACAGTGGGTTTCCTTCAATGAGGTGACTGCTCCATAAATCTCAGCATCTTTATGTTCCTTGTGCCCTCTTGTGTTGTTACCACCACCACCACTACCAGCATTATTAAAGTCACTTCAAAGTGATATATTCCTCACTGTCTCTTTCCCAGAAAGGATTTGATGTGGGGAATAAGCCCTGTGTGATGGGATCCGGTCTAACCAGCTTCACGTATGTGATCTTATTGAACTCTTATAGTGCTAAGGTGCGGGGAGGGCAGACATTGGCTAGAAAAGGTTTGGAAAAGTGAATGTGCCCAAGCCACAGAGTGGGTAAGAGATGSAGCCAGGAGCCAAGGCTTCCAGATTGAAAAATAATTCAACTGGCTGATGAACTAAGGATGACTAGAAATCAGGAGGTTTCAGGGTGCCACCTCCCCACCACTGAAAAAACAAACCTCAGAAGCTGCTGTCGGGAGGATATTGTCTCCTCAAGTGTCCCTGATGCTGCTGTCAGTCAGAGAGGTAAGTCTGAGGAAAGGATGGGCTGATGGTGGTCTGCTGCTTGCAGCCATGGGAAGGGGCRAGGACCTGGTCCTCCCTAGGACCCAGTCCTCCCTTTGCTCTGCATGTGTACCTCCTTGAGATGCTTTCTCTACACAACAAGGCTCTTCCTGTGACAGGAGGGCAGGAAAGCTGTGTGCCCAATCCTGGCATGAGTCCTGAYACTCAGGATCAGCTCTCCTGTCCCAATCTTAGTGAGAGAGAGGTGACAGTTTACCTCAAAGCCCTAAAATAAAGCTTGCTTTGAATGAAACTGCTCGGGGACATGATCTTAAGAACTTCACATTTCAATCTAATGGACAACTGATCAACACACTGGCCTTCCAAACTGGCCAGAAGAGTCTGAGAAATGGGAAGAAGAGAAAGGAGAGTGGCAGCTATGGAAAGAGGAAGGCAGGTGAGGGGCAAGGCACATGAAGCCTTTGCACATCTTTAGGAGGGCTCCAGGGACCAGGAGGACTGTCTCCCACTCAGCCCCTCATCCCACTCTGGCAAAGCTCCTGAACCCTCCACTTGCATCTTCCAGGGACAGCTGCTCACTGCCTTCAAAGCTGCCTGTATTAGTGGGGGATGGCCTGACCTTTGGAAAGTGCCAAGCTGAAATCTTACATAAGTTCCTAGACGTTAGAGTCTTGGACCAGCCTATTGGTTATTTCACACCATTGCCCCTTGCTGTCCTCAAACTGCTATCCTCCCAGCTAGTCATCTCCAATTCCATCAATTTCCCGAGGTCACTGTGATATCCCTGCCCTTCTCACCTTTGGGCAAGTTCTCCTTTGGGGAGTAAGATTAGGGAGTCAGCATCGCTTTCTCATTGCCCATTATATCACTTTATCTCAGCCCCGAGCTTGAGAGCCAGTTCGCTTCACAGAGGGATCAGTTTCCTTCCCTGCCAACCACACTCCTCACCTCCTTGCAAGTGGGTTTTATGAATCATTTCCATTTAACAAACTTAAGGGGCAAAAATCAAGGAAATGAACACCAAGAGGGACACACCTATCAGAACCAGACAAGTACAGAGACAGAGCCCCTGGAGACAAACTTCCTGCCTGCCGAGATGGCTCCAATGTCGAGTATTCTTAGGTCTGGCACAGGGCCTTCTGCCCCTCTAGCAGGGCAGGAACAGGGCAGAAGCTGACAGCTCTACTCACACAGACATGGTTCCAAGCCATGAGCTGAACAGGGCCACGTGCAAAGCCTGAGCTCTCTGTTACTGGACCCCCACAAAGGCAGTGGGACCATCCTGACTCCACAGCTTCCTGTCTCATGAGGGAAAGGATGGGGTAGAGATGYCAAAGGCTGGGGATTCTGCCTGGGCTCTTCTGGGCTCCATCTCCTATCACTGGTACTGCCTGGACCCCATAGAGACATGGCCAGGAATATGTGTGGCCTCTCCTGCCACTAGGGGTCAGGTCAGACCCATGCATTAACAATCCCAGTCCCTCAAAGGCTGGGAGAAATTAACCTGACAACTTCCAGCTTGCCGTGGTCCCAGTTCTGTCCTCTCTTGTCCTCTGGTTCTATATGATGAGGTCAGTGGAGGGCTGGGCCAGTTCGGTGCTTCTCCCCAAATATGGCACACACGTGATTTATGCCCATGTCACATGAATACATCAAGCATCATCCCTTTTTCTTTTCATTATATTACAGACCACAAAACCTTGTTGTCAACAGCTGGCATGGGCTGAGAATGGCATTTGAGAACAATACTCTGGAGATCAATATCTTTCAAAGGTGAATGATGTACAGCTTCTTTATAGAGAAAAAATGTTCTTGCAAGATTCCCAGGAATCTGTCCCCAGACCACCTCGGGCTACGATGTGCCATTCTATGTTCCTTGTCTTATTCCATAGAAACATCTTTTCATTGTGAGTCATTGCTGCAAAAGCTTAGTCTTTATCACTGGAAATCACCTAAGTTAAATAAAGAATTTAAAAGAGTTGGTAGAACTGGCAGGGTCCTGAGAAGACCTCCAGGCAGCTCAATTTGAAAAGCAGGTCTAGAGGTCCATAAACCAACAAGTCTGAGTACTGTGGAGGAAAAGCCTCAATCACAGCCAGGGGAACTGAATCAAGATGTAAAGAACCACTCCCCCTGGCACAAGGTGCCAGGCAGCACAACCCAGGGTCATGGTGGGTTTGCATCTTGGAGCACAGACCAGGCCAAGCCCCTCTAAGGTGAGGAAGAGCAGCCTCGGGACAGGTGAAGGGATAAATGATCGAGGCAGCTTTCAGCCCTGAAAATTCTCAATTATGTTCCCATTTCTCAATTGAGTTACATCTGCCAATAAGACGAGGCATTTGACAGGAAGGAGATTTAACATCCAAGTTTTCTTCCTAGAATCATTTTCAGGTACCACTTCATTCAAGAGGGATCCTGTGGAGGTTGAAGGGAACTTGATGAGGAATGCCAACAATTCTAACACCATAGCCCTGCCTAATGCACCCATGAAGGAAAAAAAAAAAAGCAAAACTAGAAACAGTTTCTAGAGTCAGAGGCTGAGGACTGATGAAATGGCCTCCTCAGGCCACTGTCCTATACACCTGTCACTTATATTTAGCTCCTGGGCCATCTCATTCATTGGATGCCATGGGCAGTGGCCACAACCTACAAGCTTCCCCGGGTTACAAAAATACTTAAATCATGAATAAACAATCGTTAACTATAATATAGAAAAAGAATCTTGCAAAAATTAAAGCAACAAATGTTTCATTGAATGTGTACAAAACACAACATTATGTTCGAAAATCAGCCTCAGCTCGATTCTGTTAGTCCTACGTAAATTACATTTACTGTGTGTTTTGATCTGGAATGTCTCCCAAAGGCTCATGTGTTAAGGGCTTGGTCCCCAAAGTGGCTATGATCCAAGGTGGGGCTTTGAGGGAAGTGACCAGATCATAAGGGCTCTGATCTCATCAATAACTTAATCCACGGATGGGTTCATAACTGAAGGGATTACTGTAGGAGATGGGGCTCAGTTCAAGAAAGTAGATCCCTAGGGGTGTGCATGCCCTGGAAGGGTATATCTTGTCCCCTGCCTCTTTATTCTCCCTCCCCCTGTCTGTCTCCTTTCTCTCCCTCTCCATCCTCACATCTTCCCATCAGGCTTCCTGGTAGCCATGAGGTGAGCAGTTTTATTCCTCCACATCCTCTCCTCCATGCCCACCCCAACACTGGCCTTGAATCAACAGAGCCAGGTGACTGTGGGCCGAAATCTCTAAAACCATGAACCAAAATAAATCTTTTCTCCTTTAAGTTGATTTTCTCAGGTATTTTGTCACAGTGACACAAAGCTGACTAACACCCTATATAATACAGACCATTTCGACATGCTTAATATGAAGGAGGGCAGAGCTTCTAGAAGAGTCCAGAGCCTTGAAAACATCTCTAAATGGCCCTGCTTATCTGCCTTTCCAGATCCAAGCTCGTTTTCCTGTTACCTGGTTGCACATTCACCCCTCCCTCAGCTGGGCTATCCAACCCAGCTCCCTCTTTCCTCCCCTATTCCTTTTCTCTCTCACCCTTCTTGCATCCCGATCCCCCCAATTTCTCCTGTTTTGCCCTGGCTGCCACTGTCCATCAGGACTAAAACAGATGCCCCAGGAATCTCCCACCAGCCTAGGCAAGCAACTTGGCTCCTTCCCCCACCCTTATGAGGAATCTCAGCAGCTGGTTCCAGTGAGGGCCAGCAGAGCCATGCCCTGCCCTCAGCAGTCAAGCCAGGCAGTGAGGGATTGACCCCAGGCCTGCCTGGGCCCAGGCAGCGTCGGTGGAATCTTAACAGTCGGAAACTAGGAGGGAGTATCTCTTAGCTGTTAAGAGCACAAGGCTTTGGAATCTAGGAGACCTGAATTCAACTGTCTCCAGATGACTTGGGACAAATCATTTAGCCTCTCTGAGCCTTGGTTTCCTTATATATAAAACTGTACCTGTAATTATTAAAATTGAGTCTGAATTATTATACCAAAATTATTACACCCATAATAATAGCCTTCCCTACAGGGAACAGAGGGCAGTTGGAGGTTTAAGATAGGATCATGTGTATTAAGCTTTCACTTCATATAATAATAACAGCTCACACTTGTGAGCACTTACAGTGTTGTAGTCAGTGTTTCTGTGAATTCTCATACAACTCTGACAGTGACCCAATTTATCATCCCTTTATCATTGACAAGAAAACTATAGCTCAGAGACTTTAAAGATCTCACCCAGAACCACGTAGAGCTAAGATCTGAAAGCAGGCAGGTCTAACCTTAACCTAGACAAAATTCCCCCAAAATGGTAGCTTTATGAAACACTCTCTGTTGGGCAATCCAGCAGGACCTTGACCTAAGAATCTGAAAACTTGGTTTGAAACAAGGGTCTGTCTATCCCATGGCCTCTCTCAGGCTGTCCCCATGTGTGTTAGTGGAAATAATAAGAAATAACCATCCAGCTAACCACAAAGGATTCCAGCCAGGCTCAAATCACATGTTGGTTGTGTGTGTGTGTGTGCTGTATGGACCGAGAAGGGCTCATCCAGTACATGATGAGCCTTGTCTGCCCTGTGTGCCAGTTCTGTGGCTGCACAGGCTCCACTTGAATAAGCTCAGCGACTCAGAGCTTACTGCTTCCTTTAGCAGCTTGTTCTGGTTAAAGAGTTCTTCCCTTTGCAGGGTCCAAAGGGATTTGCCTGTATCTCCATCCCACCAGCCCAGCTAGGTCCCCAGGGCCTTGCCAGCTGGAAAGAATCGCTGCAACACCCCACATCAGCTACAGGAGACCACTAAGGTTTGTGTTTGTATCCTTGCTTCTGCCATCCTGCCCTGGGCACCCTGACCCCAAAAGGAGACCGATGAAAGTGGRAATGTTCTCTATTTCTGCTGGCTCTGGATCTTCTCTGACTACTCTCTACCTATCCTGCTTATCAGACTCCTGGGCCAGGAGGAGATGATCCAGGCCAATAGAGGGTGGAGAAGATGCTGGAGACACTGTTGGCTTCCCTGACCCCTCACACTCCTGTTATCCCTTCTCTGTGTAAACATCTAGGATACCCCCCTGGTCCTGTCTCTTCTAGCTGGTCCTAAGGCTTTGGGGCTAAAATCTCCATGACTTTAGATGACTTCCTTTCTTTGCCTCACCTCTCCCTGTCATAGCAAGCCCCAGATACCCCTGTTTCCATACCTTAAAAGACTCCAGGAATCCTCCATGTCCTCCATTCTCAAACTTGTCCTCCTCTGGACCCAGTCCTAGCATGACCTGTGTGTGAGCATGGAGTTCATCATGAAGGTTGTCCAGGAGGGCGGCCCTTGTCCGGTCCTAGGAGAGAAGAGGGTGAGGGTGGAGGAGCTGGGGCTGACGACAGAGGTGTACCCTCTCATGTGGGCTACAGACACCCAGCCTGAGGGCTGTTACTGTGCCACTGCATCCTGGCCAGTGTGGACCTACAGCCAAGCTAGGCTCCATGCTCACAATCACTGCTGTAACAGCAAATGCTCTGGGCGTGCCCCCCCTCCCATCTCATTGCTTTGCCCCCTTCTCCCAGGGTCATCCCACTGCTTCCCCGGCTCTATCCTGGAGACTCCCAGCCCAGACATCTCTACCCTGGTGACTCCCAAGCTCCACACCCATGAACCCACCTGCCCAAGGCTCTTCTCCCGTCAGATGTTCACACCAGGACTGTGCATGCAGCCTCCAGGGGGCGCCTTAGCACAGATGGTGACAAGCTCTTTCAGCAACTCAGCCTTGACAGGCACCCCAGAGCAACAGGTCCTAACAGAACAGTCTCCCAGTCTTCCCCATGTCACCACAGAGCCCAAGCTAAGGGCCTGAGAGACCCTACCATTCCATTTCCCTCCACCTGCACTTCCGGCAAGCCTTCATGTCTTCCTGACCCTGACTCTGAACCACTTCCTCTTATGGGGTATAAGCCTCCTTCATCTCAGACTCCTGGAATTGCTTCTAACTGACGACCCTTCCTGTTCCTTGCCCCCTTCAGCCTGTCCTTCTCACCACTGGCAAAGAATCCCTCGAATAAGCAAATCAAATGTGCCATAAGAACGTTCTAGTACCCATCGCCTCTAGCTCTCAGCCCTTCTGGATCTRACCCAACCACATCTGCAGCTGAGCCCCCACCACTCCAGCCCCCGGGGAAGCCTCTTTCAGTGCACGACAGACCCCCCCAGGGGCTGCCTCCCCGAGTCATGCTCTTTCTCTGAGTGGCCTTCACTCAGAAGTTCCCCATACCTGGAATAATAACCTTTCCTACTCTTGCCTCCTGGCCAAGGATTCATCAGATATTGAGATCCAGAGGCTTCAGAGCCACCCGCTCCAGGAAGCCTTCCCTGAACACACACTCCCAGTGCCCCCCAAGGCGGAAGTAGTTACTGTCCTCTAAGCAGTGCTGGCTCCTCATGGCCTAGGGCTGACACATTGTATTAAACTGCCTCCCTCCAACCTGTGAGCTCTGTAAGGCAAAAACTGTCTTGCTTATCCCTGTCTTCCAAGGACCAGAACAAGGCCTGGCATACAGTAAGTACTCAATAAAAGACGGGTGAATGATTGACAGAGCTGGCGTATCCACCAGAAGAAAGTATTCCCGTGATGAACCCAGGGCTGAGGGCTTAGAAGGGCAAAGATGCTCCCCAACTTGAACAGGCCCAAGATGAGAGCCCCAAGGGAAGCTGGTTAAGAGCAGGCCAGGAAGACGACCTTTGGAAACTGTGCTCTCACCTCCAACTTGGCAAATTTGTCCGACTTGCAGCAAGCATTCTCGGCGTTCGTGAGCTTGGTGAGCAGGAACTCTCTGAACTCTGGGCCCTGGAACAGACAAGATGGTCCAGAACTCTCCTACCCTCAGCCACTGCCAGAGGGCTTCAGTTAGAGTCTTAAGCAGGCAGTAAAGGGGATCTGGAAAAGTCCAAGAAGGGGCCCTTCTGACATCTGATCATTTCTAGCCCATGCCAAGCCACCTGCTCATATGCCACTCTGGAAACCAGCTGGTCCTGAGAAAGCAGCCCTCCATGGGACACTTCCACAAGGAAAGGCAATTCTCACCCAAGGCTCCCTGGACAGAAGCATGGCATAAAAACCCCTCCCTAAACCACTAGTAGAGTGAAGAATGGGAATCAAGGAGAGGTACTKGGTCATAATATCAACCAAAGTATGTTATACGCACGTACAAATATATCACAATGAATCCTGCTCTTTTGTATAATTATAATGCACCCATAAAAAATTAAAATTAAATCCCTCCTCTGGCAGGCAACCCCAGTGTCACACACCCTGACAAACGGCCACCCTAATGTTCCCAGCCCAAATTCTTCCCATTCCAACATTGCTAGGCAGGTCTGGCAACCTGGACTCTTAAATGTGAGAGAAGTAGAAGAGTTTCCTACCTTCTGGAAAACAGGAGGGCTGGGCAAAGGCGGGCCAAAGGCAGGCACATCTTCCCGTGCAGTGACGGAGACCTGAATGAAAGAGTCACATGTGAGCCAGGAGGGAAGAGGTCAGAGCTGCCTTTCAGGGAGCCACATTTTRGGGGTGGGGGGGTGGGGAGGGTGACCAGGGATTGAACCCAGGGGCAGTCAACCACTGAGCCACATCCCAGCCCTTTTATTATTATTTATTTAGAGACAGGATCTGGCCAAGTTGCTTAGGACCTTGCTAAGGCTTGCTGAGGCTGGCTTTGAACTCACAATCCTACTGCCTCACCTCCAGAGCTGCTAGGATTAACAGGTGTGTCACCAYGCCCAGCTGAGCCAATCCACTCACCCTCTCCCCGCTCCCCTTCCCAGAATTCAAATGAAGTCCAGGCCCTGAGTCATTGCTCCTAGAAGTGGGGCTGGACAGTGAGGAGCCATCCGCATCCTCTCCCCTGCCTTCCTAGGGGGCAGACCCAAGTGGGGCAGAATGACTGGACAGGGCTGAGGAGCAGCAGGGACCCCAATTACAACACAGTGCGAGTGTCTGGGAGGTGTCATGACTTCATTCAGTTGTGATGTTCTTCCCATGGAGAAGATGCAGGGAGAGTTATTAACCCCGTTTTCATGATGAGGAAACAGAAAGCCAGAGACATGAAGTGAGCCCCACAAAGTCACACAGGTGATTAGTCACAGAGAGAAATAAAGGTTCCAGATCTCTCCTGACCAGGTCTCTAGTTCTTCCCCACCATACTGTCTCCCAAACCCAGCCATACATCAGACTCACTTCCAGTGTTTACAAAGTAAATGCAGATTATATGAGAAGCTCAGGATTCCTGGGAGCCTTTGTAGAGCCAGTGGACCTGTGTCTGGGAGCCCTGGCCCCATACACAGGGTCAGCCATTCTGGCTGAGGCTTGTCCTAACAGATCTCCATGACCCAGGCTGAGAATTAGAAGTGGGGGATGTCCAGGCTTGGGCCAGCMTCGGTGATATCTAACTGCAGAGCAAGAGTATTCAGGTGCTCCACCTGGAGGGTGCCCATGCTCGGGGCAGGTCCCCTACCTCACCCCCTCTGAGTGGAGGTGCCCTGGTTTCACCTGCTCTMAGCCCCAGAGGCTGCAGGGCTCTCGGGACACTGCCTGCTCCTTTGCCTCAGCAGCCACTGACGTGAGCAGACCCTGGCCTGCCGCCAGCCCCCCTGGCCTGTGAACTAGGGCAGATGCAAAGAGCCTGCCAGACCGGGCGAGCARGCAGCCCGGAGCAGAGCCAAGGATAGGCCCTGCCAGGGTCCAGAGGGGTGGAAGCAGAGAGGGTAGGTCAATAGCGGCTTTCTCTCCCCAAACTCAAGTCTGTCTGCACAGCCCAAATTTCTGAGTCAGGAAATGGTCTGTGTTCACCAACATGATTTCTGGCTGAGCTCCAAATACAGTTCCCTACTACTACCCACCATGCACTGGTGGCCCAAGTCAAGAATTCTACCCACAGAGCCAGAATCTGGACTGGGCTACACACATCCGGGATACCTGGGACAAAGGAAAGAAGCAGGTCCAGTGGCCCCCACCCCACCTGGTCCCCCTTCCTTCTAGGGCCTGTATTAGAGTGGTCTGTGCCGACAGGGTGTTTTCAGATATGCCTTAAATCCAGATGTCCTTAAATCTTCTCCTGACAGAGAAGCCCACTGCAATAGTGGTCAGAAACACAGGGGACAGGGGGAGGAGCCTGCCTGGTGACATCCATTCATCTTTCATTCTCAGCCTGTCCCCCTCCTGACCCCATTCCAATGAGACAGCCTGGTCTCTGTGGTTCCCTCCTCTTGGGGATGTTGCTTCTGAAAGCAGAAGTTGCCTGAACACAGCCCCTCCTCCCCTTCCTGTTTCTAAATCCAGAGGTCACAGTGGCAGCAGGTGCCCTGGGGAAGAGCATCTTCAAGGCTGGAAAGCGGAAGGAGCTCAGGCGTAGAGGTCAAGAGGATGCACCAGGGAGGTGCCGGTCTGAGCACTGGAAACCTGACAAAGTCCCCATGCCCAGGTGTGGCCTGCCGCCTTAGAGGGCTGTTTAAGCAACAAGAGTTGGGATGGGAAGGGGAGGGCTTCCCCAGTGGTCTGCTCCACAGAAGATTCCTGAAACCCTTGTTGGACTTCAGGAAGGGGGAGGTGACCCTAAAGAGAAGGTAGGAGTCCTACTGATGGCTGAGCTAGAGTTTCCTTCTAATCTGGTGAGATGGGAACTAAATTCCTACCTAAAAATATTCCCATGTGACTTTTGCACACCTGAATTTGTGGAATCAATTTCCCACCGGCTCTGATGGCTTCAGACAGACTGAGCAGAAATTTCAGCTCCGTGGCACCCTGGCTCTGTGGCCTCAGCCTTAAATGGCCTAAGCTCTGAGCCTCAATCTTCTCTCTAAAACATCAGACTAATAAGAGAAAGCGCTGGAAGGAGCTCATAAGGCACCTAGTCCAACTTCCTCGTTTCACACGGATAGAAACTGAGGCCCAGAGAGGGAAGGAACTGACCCAAAGTCACACAGTAATCAGAGTCAGGGCCAGAACAAGAACCCCAGTCTACTTTGATTGGGGACCTTCCTTGCACACTTCCACTTCCATCCTTCCCACCTCTTCTTTCCTGTAGCTCATCCTTCTCAGTAGAGGCCTCCTGGGCATTGCTCAGTCCCTAAGGAATTCCCCCCTCCTTAGGAAAGCCCCTAAGCCTTCAGGGGTCAGCTAGGGTCCCATTTCACCTGGACACCCTGAGGGGTCCAACCAGGTTTTCCTCATAGCCCACATATCACCCAGGCTGCTGCTGGGGTGCAGGTAGGCAGCATGCTGGGGAGGGCCTTGGAAGGCTGGTCTCTCTCCTGCCCCCTGCCTCTCTGGCTCCATTCCCACCAGCAAATCCAGCAGGCAGATGAAATACAAGGTGAAGATTCCCTGTCCCAAGGGCTTGGCCCTGCTCCTCTGCAACTCTGCACTTTTCTGAAGACAATGCTTTGCCCTGGATCCCAAACTTGAAACTTGAAAAACTGGGTAAAGACTCCCAGTACTGAAGCTAGAGGAGAGTGGTGGCTTCTGGATCTCTGGTTTTTCTCTGTATGGATGCACCCCTACACTAAGCTCTTGGGAAAGTGGAGCAGCCAGGAACTAGGGGTGTAGCTTAGTGGCAGAGCACTTGCCTAGCATGTGTGAGGCACTGGGTTCAATCCTCAGCACCACTTAAAAATAAAAGTATTGTGTCCATCTATAACTTTTTTAAAAAAAAATTTTAAGAAAATATAGAGAAGCCAGTTATCTGAGCTCCATCTCCTATAAGGAATAAAAAGCAAATATTAAACATCCACAAGAAGCCATCAGACAAGCCACATCCAGATGACTTTCTTTCAAGGCTTTCTTTCTCCACAGCTCTTCCACCTTGGTGGGCTGTTAAAAGAACCAGTTGGTTATTTGAGCTGTCCAGTGTCTGAACTACACKCACTGGCTCCTCCATCCCTTGTCTAGGGTCAGCCAGGACCTGCAGGGCAATTCTGCATGTCACTTCCTTGTTCCCCACCCCAGCATGATGCCAATGGCACATGATGGCACCCGGTAGGGCACTGAATGAGTAAATTCACTTTCCCTGACAAATTCATCAAGCAGCTGTGACAAGAATGCCCATTTCAGTCAAAGCAGGTGACCCCACAGCTTTCTAGGAAATGGCCACACCACGGCTGCTCCAACCTTGCAGCTAAGATTGCTCAACGCCCGAGAAACACAAACATGCCCACGTAAGGAAATCAGCTCATCACAACGGGAGGGATTTGGTTTTGTTTTTTTTTTTTTTTTAGCTTTTTCTTTTCTTTGTTTATTTTTTTTTTTAAGTCTCACATTTGATTTTAAATTTCAATGGGAATTTTGCACTCAATACATCTATGTTTGCACTGATGTAAGAGTAACATAACCGTACCTACCAAAATTAATATTTATAAAGATGGCCATAAGGTGCTATGGCAGAGAACCCAAGGAATCAGCACTGACCTAAGTTATTGTCTAGGAAATATTTCCAGGCTCATTATCTCCCGTTAGCAATGACAGGCTCATTTCTTTTCCTCTTCCAGAGAATGGTGGTTCCCAACATTTTTTGGAGCAGGGAGCCCTGTGAGAATTTGATCTGGGGCTTCTCTTCCCAGAAAATGCAGAAAAGTGCACCAATAGCAGTTGATGCCAAGGCACTGAGAAGGGAAGGCGGGTGGCCAGGAGTGGGGAGGGCATGTCATGCCAACACAACCTGACACCTTAAAAACCCTGCCTCAGCCTCTCTCCCTCAGGTTCCATACCCCCGGAACCACCATGACAGGGTGAAAATGCTGTCCAGGAGGTCAGGATTGTTACTCATGGACAGGAGGAAGGCAGCCATCAGGAGTGGGCAGATGAGGGATGTCAGAACAATGGGTTGCTCTGTGTCTGCCCCATTCCCACTAGTGAAGACCATGAGTCCATCTTCCCTGCCACTCACTAGCCAGGACACTTAACAGGGGTCTTTTTTTTAAATTTTATTTTTTTTATTGGTTGTTCACAACATTATAAAGCTCTTGACATATCATATTTCATACATTAGATTGAAGTGGGTTATGAACTCCCAATTTTACCCCAAATGCAGATTGCAGAATCACGTCGGTTACACATCCACAATTTTACATAATGCCCAATTAGTAATTGTTGTATTCTGCTACCTTTCCTATCCCCTACTATCCCCCCTCCCCTCCCCTCCCATCTTCTCTCTCTACCCCATCTACTGTAATTCATTTCTCTCCTTGTTTATTTTCCCATTCCCCTCACAACCTCTTATATGTAATTTTGTATAGCAATGAGGGTCTCCCTTCATTTCCATGCARTTTCCCTTTTCTCTCCCTTTCCCTCCCATCTCATGTCTCTGTTTAATGTTAATCTTTTCTTCCTGCTCTTCCTCCCTGCTCTGTTCATAGTTGCTCTCATTATATCAAAGAAGACATTTGGTATTTGTTTTTTAGGGATTGACTAGCTTCACTAAGCATAATCTGCTCTAGTGCCATCCATTTCCCTTAACAGGGGTCTTGCATCCCTGCCTCCCTAAAGTCTTCAAGTTGAGATCACCCATGGGTCTAGAATGGCCAGACCAGAGGGCCAGGGTCTACCACGCCCATGCCCCCTTTCTCTTTCTTCCCTCTGTTTGCTACTACCTTTCCCTTTTCCTGACGTCCTCTCCACTCTCACCTTCTCCCCTCACGTTCTGCCATATTCTAGCACAGGACATCACTGCATTCTAAATTGACATTCTGGGCTTCTGGACCCTCAAGTTGGAAGCTGTAGAGCCTGCAGCCAGCAAAACGGGTGGAATAACCTGGAAGGTGCTTGCCACCAAGAGTCTAGCTTCAGACCCCAGCAACCTGGCAACTCACGGAACTCCAACACTGTTGACAACTCGTGACTTTTGATGTCGTGAGTCCACAAAATGCGGGGAGGCATCTGGGCAGTGACTGTCTCCAGCCAGGCCTACCCTTACCTTGTATGATGGGGTCTCTGTGCCTGGGCTCTCGACCTGCACAACAATGTAGGCGTGTAAGAAATTGGAGGCAATCATATCTGGGACAAATGGTGTATTTTCTTCTTGGAAGATGATGGCCACAATGTCGTTCCCAATGTGTCTCTTTCTCTGGAGCTAAACAAAAAGTATTCCATCATTACAAGCCAGTAAGGAACATCCTGAAAACAGAAAAATCTGTATAAGAAATTCCCCATAAGTTTTCCCTTGGTATGTAAACCCTACAGCTCTGAGACCTAGCTCTCCAGGGAGCTTCTTTCAATCCTTAGAAGCCACCAGGAAGAAAAGAACGGGGAAGATGCCCAAGTTGTTAGGTAGCAGCCAGTAAGCACGTTTCGGAGCTTGACGGTGTGCCCAGCCCTAACTCAGGACCCAGGGAAAATATTTAAAAGGTGAGGCAGGAGCCCGGTGCAGTGGAACATGCCTACAATCCAGTTATTCAGGAGGCCGAGGCAGTARGATCACAAATTTGAGGCCATCTTTGGAGACCTACCCCTACCCCACAAAAAAAGGAGGGGGTCAGAAGGTGGAGGCTGGTGATGTAGCTCAGAGGTAGAGCAACCCTGGGTTCAGTACCACACACAAAAGAAGAAAAATGGTGAGGCTGGGTCTGGCCCCAGGAGAGCTGTAATTGATCTGGGCAGAACCACCTGAGAACTCTAACAAAGCTGCCAGTCAGCAAGTGCTAAGTTGGCTGCTGCACATGAAGTGCCTCACAGCTCTGGGGATAGAGAGGTGGGATAATCTAAGGGCCTGGTAGCATCCTGAGAAGACTTCCTGGAAGAGGAGATGGTGTGAGGAGTCTGGATAGAAATGTGGATGGGAGGTGGGGCCGGATGAGTGGGTGGTGCATTCTACCAGAAGAGAGCTGGCCATGCTTAAAGGGGCTCTGGTCACCTGGGTGTAAGAGGGGAGTAGAGGACAGAAACCCAAACCTGTCTTGGTTTCCTAAATGGTGCCAGGTGCTTTTGGTCACTAAGCACCTACTGTGGGTCAAGAACTGTGTTGGGCTATTCACATGCATGATTTCAAATGCTAAAGTTCTCCTGTACACCTACACATTTGTTCCTTTATTAGGCACCTACTATATGCAGGCCCTATGCTCATCCCTTTTATATGGAGTTTCTCATTTTCTGAACATCTGCCATATCCCGGGCACTCTGCTGGGCACTTTTATGCAAATTATCTCATTCCACACATACCCTCCCATTTCTTAGGGAGAGAAAACTAATATTTATTCAGTCCCTGCCAAGAGTCAAGCTCCCATGCCAAGGTACACTTCCCAATTAACATATGTCAGACTGAAGTGGCCTGCGAGAAAAAGTCCCAGGCTGGGGCAGCAGGTGAGGGGAAYCAGGAGGGAGCAGAGACTGAAGGTGACACCGAGAGAAAGCCCACTGTGGATACAAAAGGAATCCTGCTCCCATTTGTTTCTGGAACATTCAGTCGTTATTTGAGAGCCAAATCATAATTTCATTTGCCAATTTCCTTTTTCTCCTAAGAAGCCAGCACGATGTTTACAATTTTACCTCTCTGCTCCCTCTCAGTTCCCTGCTCAGAAACAAATAGGTCAGAGTTTGGGCAAAGACCCATCTGCCCTTCTTGTTTTCCCAGAGACAGAAAAGGGACCCAAAAGGGCTGGGGCGTTGCGACCTCCAAGATCAGCTGCTTTTCAGAGGGAAGGCTCTCCCCAGGGACGTGTGGCTGTCGAAACAGCAAACATGAATGAGCACCGGCTGAATTCCTGCCCACAGGCAGGTGGGCAGAGCGAGAAGGGATGTGGGGAGGTCCTCATGCAGTAAGAGCTCCAGGGCAGCAGGGAGGCAAAAAGACTAGTGGCCTGGGCAAGAAACGGCTGTTATACAGAGAGCAGCCACATGCCAAGCATCCACTGCAGCAGCCTTATAATCAGTAACTGTTATGTGACCCCATAACAGCTCTCTGACATAGAGCTGCTGTCCCCAGTCTACAGAGAAGAAAAGTGGGGCAAAAGGTAACCAGTTGCCCAGAGTCACACACCTCTAAGTGGCTCAGCTGGTTTCAAGACTCCACCTGCAGATGGGGTCATGCACCCTTTATCTCCACCCTAGATGATCAGGGTCATAGGCTCTGCTCCCAGCTCAGCCCCTCCCTGACTGTGAAACCTTAAGGAGGTGTTTTTTTTTTTTTTTTTTCTGTTAATGCTGGGAACGGAACCCTGGACCTCTTCATAAGTTCCCACTCTAGAACTGAGCTACCTCCTCAGCCCTCAAGAAAGTCTCTTAAGGGTCTGCCCTTGGACTGCAGTTTTTCCCGCTGTCAAAGAGGGAATCACCAGGAGCATTGGCCTGCCTCCKGCACTGGATTGCTGAGGTGCCACCCTGGTGAGACAACACAAGAAAACAGGCTGTGACCCGAGATGCTGAACAGATTGTCCTCTTAGTTACACAAATGAAAGCCCCCTGACCATCCCCCGGGCAGGTCAGCCCAGGAGCTGGGCCTTCGAGGGGCATACCCAAGCRCCCAGAGTCCTCCAAAAACAGGCTACCTGTTGAGCATCACCCTCGGTGAATGGCAGCTTTGTGGAGACGTGAAACATGATCTCCCGGTCCCGGAAGGTTGTGTACACTGACTCCACCCCTGTCTGTCCGTGGGTCACATCCAGGCCTCCTCGGAAACTGTCAGTAAAACAGGGCAGGAGCAGGAGAGAAAGAGTGAGGGGAAGCAGGCAACGTGGTGCAAACTCCCCTAAGGTTATGAGGCAGCTGGAGGGCAGATGGAAGAGTTGAGGGAGGAGGTGAGGGCAAAGGAGAGAACAAGGTGGGGAGAGCAGGGAAGGGTGTTCTTCTGAGCAGACTAGCCTGGAGTTCTAACCAGACATCTGTTGTCTAACTAAAAAGGCAGAACCTCCAACCCAAGCCTTGTTGTGTCCCCCATGCACCACTGGTCATGTGGGGAAGGGAGGCCTGTTGTCCAAGATCCCAGACAAATGTCCATCCCAGCTGCCAGTGGCCCCCAAGGCTGGGCACGGCCTTTTGCTCTCTGCAAGRCTATATCCAAATCATCTTCCCAGAGCCAGGGCAACCAGCCACCCTGCTGGATGATGGTGAGCCCCACAATGGCATCCGGAGTCAGCCAGGAGAGATGACAGATGCTTGGCTTGTACCTAGCTAGCCCCTGATATGGAGGCCCAGCTGCAGCAGTACCCAGCTTAGGATATCCWGGAAGGTCCCTTCTCAGGCTGCATATTCTTAGGCAGGAAAAAAAAAAAAAAAGCATGGAGGAACTAGGTGGGCTTCCAAGATCTGTCCCTTCTGCCTCTACAGAATAATAGCTGCTAGTCCTGGACCACATTCTTCAGCAAGGGGAAGAAAATGCAGATGCAAGTTCCTTAAAGAAAATGAAATAAGATGGTCCCTGGACRTCAATATCCCAGTACTTACTACCAGGCAGAAAATGTGCTCAGCCCAATGTGGCAGAAAGGATGCTGGGATGGGCTGGTGGACATTTCAGGTTCTAAATCTGCTTCTGGCGCTAAATCAGCTTATGACCTTGGGCATATCACTTAATCTTTCCAGGTCTCAGTTTCCTTTTTCTATAACATGAAGGGCGAGTATTACCTATCTCTGTATCTTTCTGGGATTAGTATAATGTATTTCATCCATTCTATGACMCATGATTTTAGCATTTTAACATCACCAAAATCAGGATACCTCTTATAGTGATGCTATCTCAAAGTCCACAAAAGTCAGCAAAATCAGAACAGTAACAATAATGATGACCAGTGTGTGGCACTAGCCTGTTTCAAATGCATTAACTATTTTAATCCCCCAACATCCTTGTGGGGTCAGTATTTTATTTCCCTTCTTACAGATGAGGTAACTGAAGCTTGCCAAGGTAAAGTCACTTGCCCAAAGTCTTAGAGCTAGTGGGTGACAGAGCTGGGATTTTAAYGCAGGTGTGATTGACCCTAGAAAGCAGTGGTGACTTCGAAGAAGAAAAAATATGAAGAAAAGGGAGAAAGGGAAAAGAAGAAGGAAGCAGAGGAAGAAAGCAATTGATGAACACCTACTGCATGCCAGGCAATTGGGCTAGGTGTTTTTACATATGATGTTTGTAGCGCCCGCTATTTTCACTCCTGAGGTGGGAGAGGGGTGTGAATTCTAGGACCCACAGCCACACACCAAGTTCRTGGCTGGCCAGGTCTGAAATATTCCCAAATGTTGCTTTTGCCAAGGAAAATCAAGAGCCAGAATCTTCCAAGCAATAGCACCAATATTTAATCTTTCTGTCCACTTAAAGACCCATATACTGATGCATAGACGCCTCCTGGGATGGGGAGATTATATTTACATGGATTCTTAATTACCCACTCTTTATGTATTATCTGAAAGGGGWCATTTCCTTCCAAATTGCACAGGGAACTCTTGCCTGGCGGGTGAGAGGTAGGAAAGGTGGATTCATTTCATTCACAGTCTGAGTCAAATGCAATTAGGAAGGAAAATCTCAGAGGAAGCATTCCCAGCACACATCCTAAAGCCAAATGGCAATGCCTTTCAGATAACCTGCCATGTTAATTATCCCTTGGACCACTGATTCTTTAGGAATGCAGATAAGTGAGGGTTCATCAGATGCTKAAAACAGTCTCATCTTCCTTGGGTGTGGTTTTAACTCTCACATGAGCTCCTTGAGGACTGAGCTGTCTGCCCCTGGCTCTTCTGCTAGGGCCTCACCAATGGGACTACAGCAATCCCTTGGCTAAAACTCACCCTTTAAAGTCCTGCAGCGTGATTGTGTCCCCTAGCAGATCCAAGAACTCCTTGAAAGCAGGACTCTCTTCGTTGTTCCCAAATAGTTCCTCCTCCAGGGTCTTAAAGAGAAACAGGAACAGGAGTTTAAAAACACCATCTTGGTGCCAAAAGAAGGGCTGCCACATACCCGGTCCTTTTATTTCTTCTTCCCTCTCTCCCAATACATTTCACCACAGCCATCCTCCACTGAAGGATGGGCTAATGGAGAATTCATCCACTCCACAGAGCTGGATCCCAGCAGCTAGTTAACGAGACCTTTCTATTTGAGCAAAAGTTAGTACAAAAGCAAAACTGACGCAAAGCGTTCTTAGATTGATACCAAAAACATGATCCATTAATAAAAATTTGGTAATTGGACTCCCAACAAAGAGCTAGTATCAAAAACATAGAAAAAACAATCATAACACTACAGTACTCAAAACCACAATAAGATACCACTTCACACCCACTAGGATGGCTATGATTAAAAAGGAAAGACAACAAGTGTTGGTAAGGATGTAGAGAAATCAGAACCCACATAAATAGACAATGGGAAGAGAAAATGGTGCAACTACTTTGGAAAACCGTCTGGCAGTTCCTCAAAAGGCTAAACATAGAGGTACTATATGACCACAATTCCACTCCTAGGTGAGTAACCAAGAGAAATGAAAACATATGGCCACACAAAAATTTGTGTGTCAATGTTAATAGTAGTGGTATGTAAAATGTCCCCAAAGTGGAAATAACCCAAATGTCTATCAATAWATGGATTTAAAAATGTGATATATTCATACCATGGAATATCCAGCCATAAAAAAGAAACTCTTAATTGCCAAGATCATTGTAATGTCATGTGTAGCTAATAAAAAAAAAGATTATCTAAGACCAAAAAAAAAGAATAAAAGATGTTTTTCTTTAAAAAAAAATAAGAAATTCTTACAAAAGGTACAGACTCTTACAAAAGGTACTTTCTATTCACAGGGATAGAAAGTAGATTAGTGGCTGCCAGGAGCTAAAGGTAACAAGGTGGGAGAGTCACTTTGGAGAGTGATGAAAATATCCCGGAATTAGAGTGCCATACTACTGTGTGATTACACTATAAATCACTTGATGAAAATACAACTCACACGCTTCTGTGAATTACAYGGCATGAGAATTACAYCTTAATAAAGCTATTATAAAGAAAATTTAAAACTCAACAGTATGAGAAAATGGTCAAAAGAACAGACATTTCACCTAAGAGGATGCACAGATGGCAAACAAGCACATGAAAAGATGTTCAACATAGTTAGCCTCTAGAGAAATGCAAATTAAAACTATAATGAGATATCACAACACACCTATCATAATGGCTCAAATTAATAAAAAATAGTGAAAACACCAAATCTGGCAAAGATATAGAGAAACTGGATCACTCATACATTTTTTTGGTGGGAACAGCCACTCAAGAAGAGCTTGGCAGTTTCCTACAAACTAAACATATAATTACCATATACAACCAGCAATTGTGCTCCTAGGCATTTATTCCAGAGAAATGAAAACTTGCATTCAAATAAAACCAAAAGCTGTATACAAATGTTCATAGTAGCTTTATTCATCATAGCCAACACCTGGCAACAACCCAGATGTCCTTCAATGAATGAATGGTTAAACAAACCCTAATACAGCCAGACATGGAAAACTACTCAGCAATAAGAAGGGACAAACTAGTGACACACTCAAGAACTTGGACAAATGCTACTGAGCAGAGAAAAGCAACCCCAAAAGGCTATGTACTGTATGATTCCATTTGTGTAATTTTTTGGAATACAATTTTTGAAGCTGGAGAACAGATCAATGCTCTACAGATGGCTAGGGGTTAGGGACTGGAGTGAGGGAGGAGAAGTGAGAAGGAGGTGAGCATGGTGATAAAGGAAAACAGGAGGGAGCCTTGTGGTGACAAAATTCTTGTTTCTTGACTATGGAACCTACAGGTGGATAAAATGACACAGAACAAAACAGATCAAATACTCGCCCGCACGCGCATGCACACACACAAAGGAGTACCCGTAAACTGGGGATATCTGAATACTATCTGTGGATATCTGAATAATATCTGAGAATTGTGTCAATGTCACCATGGTTGTGATCTTGTGCTGTAGTTGTGTAAGATATGACTGTGGGGAAAACTGGGTAAAAGATACATGAGCTCTTTCTTCCAACTACATGTGAACCCACAAATATCTAAAATTAAGAAGTGTAACAATTGCTGGGTACAGTGGTGCACGCCTGTAATCCCAGTGGCTCGGGAGGCTGAGACGGGAGGATCTAGAGTTCAAAGCCAGTCTCAGCAATGGCGAGGCACTAAGCAACTCAGTGAGACCCTGTCTCTAATAAAATATAAAACTGAGCTGGGGATGTGGTTCAGTGGTTGAGTGCCCCTGAGTTCAATCCCCGGTACCCTCCCCCCAAAAAAGAAGTTTAACAATTAAAGAATACATTATAAAAAAGGCAAAGCTGAAAACAGTAGCAAGCTTTGCAAATGGTGTTAGGCTTTAACAACTGACTAACCCTATCTGATGAGCAACTTGTTACTACTGTTTTCTGCCTACAGCAGCAGGACCTGCAAACAGCTGAAGGCTCTGCAAACAKCCATGGACTCCAATGAATGGCTTCATATAAAAAAAAAAAAATTCAGTGTGTCCAGTCACTTCAAGGACAGTCTCCCATAGGCAATTCTTTAATATTTCCTTAATGTCCCCTATTTTGGGGGGCAGTGCTTGAGATTGAACCCAGGTCCTTGATCATGCTAAACACGTGCTGTACCACTGAGCTACACTCCCAGCCCCACTTAGGCCTGCWTTGTAACTAATAAAAGCAAACCTCAGATTCCAAGTCTTCAACAGGCAACAGAATCTAGTAGATTTCAGTAACTCTACTTGTTTGTTAATACTATTTCCTCTTAGAATTACTTTGATTTCATGGCAAGTGATACTGGTTTTCCAATTAGAGGAGGGTGATCTAGAATTTCCTTTTAAAAAAATAAATGCACTAAGGGCTGGGAGTACAGCTCAGTGGTAAAGCATTTGCCTAGCTTGAGCAATGTCCAGAGTTCAATCCTTGGCACCACCAAAAACAAATAAAAACACTTTAGTTTTTTAAAAAAAAAACATTTTTTAAGAAAAAAATTTAGTGGTTAATAGTAGGAGTGTGTTAAAAATTTTAACAGTGGCCACTGGTGAAATAAGTGCCATAATACAGATCCTAAATGTGGTCTGTGAAAATCGGAACTTTTGGAAACACAGCTTTCTAGCAGGTGTCAGCAAACTATGGCCCATGGACCAAGCCTGGCCCACTTCTTTTTTTTAATCAATAAAATTTTATTGGAACATGGCCAGGCCAACTCATTTACATATTGTCTTTGGCTAATTTTGCACAATAAAAGCAGTAGGGTGGTAGTAACAGAGACTCCAAGGCCCATAAAGTTTAAAAAATCTATTATCTGGATCTTTAATGAAAAGTTTTTTGTTCACCAGTCTTTAGCATGGCATGAAGACATTGCAGTTCCAGCCAAGCATCCTGTTTGTCCTGGGTCATGGGGTCTGAGTGTGAGAGCTGCTGCTTCAGGGAAATCTACAACTCCTACCAAGAAAACAACTCATTATAGGTTCTGGGGCATGCACCTCTTGTCCAGGATTCACACCTTGTCTGGTATTATTAGCATTGTCATTATTTTTATACTGGCCTTGAGCTTGACCATGTACTCAAGGAGGGGGTCTTAGTCATCGCCATGTCTCCCACAGTGCTTAGCACAGTACATGACACACAGCAGAGTTGGGTGAAGCTTATTTATATCCAAAGACCAGCACAGGGTTTTTATGCAACAAATGTTCATATTAAATGTCCCCCAGCTGTAGGTTTGCAAAACAACAATCTGCCTAGATTTTTTTTWWWAAAAAAAAAAARAAKWWTWTYWTCYT